GTACAACTTCTACCACACATTGGGCTTACACACAATCTGTGGGGTACAACTTCTACCACACATTGGGCTTACACATAATCTGTAGTGTACAACTTCTACCACACAATTGAGCTTACACACAATTTGTAGTGTACAACTTCTACCACACATTGGGATTACAAACAATCTGTAGTGTACAACTTCTAGCACACATTGAGCTTACACACAATCTGTAGTGTACAACGTCTAGCACACATTGGGCTTACTCACAATCTGTAGTGTCAACTTCTACCACACATTGGGATTACACACAATCTGTATTGTACAATTTCTAGCACACATTGGGCTTACACATGAAAAAGACCCTCTATTGCCACTGAACACACACACAATCAGAAGCCTAGACACAGACATGATCATATACAGTAATATACACAATCAGAAGTGTTAAGCTTATACCACAAATTGAACTTACACAGAATCTGTTGTGTAAGCATTTGCTACACGACATAGAATATAAACTCAATTAGTAGAGTACAGCTTCTACTACAGCTGATAATGTACGCCTCCCACTAAAAATATCACTGAACATGTGAGCAAACGTAGTTTGTAGGCAATCTAGCAATCAAGAAAAATTGAACATCTACACAGTATGAGTTCTACTACATACTTCTGCCAATAAAAACAATGTACATACTGTACACGTACGCCTTCTTTTACACATCATGTAACGTGAAAATAATAAGTTGTGATTTAATTCTTCTACATGACGTCACTGGACATGTACACAATCGGTATAATACGCCTTCAATTACCCATGAAACATGTAAAAAATGGCATGTACGCATTCTATTAAACTTCATTTAACATGTACAATGTACACGCAGTCAAATGGCTATGTCTTCTACTGAACTTTAAAAATGCACACAATTATTGGCAATCCTCCGAAGTCCGGCCCCAAATTATTTCCAATGATTACTCCTTACTTAAAAGTCTTGGGCATCATTCTGTTTTGAAATTCATGTTTGCGGCAGTGGACGACGTTGGATGGAGGCTGTCTGCCGTCGAGATGCACAAACACTCGAGCACATTATCACTAATCATGTGTTGCCAGGGGCAACTATAGTCACGGACGCTGGGCGAGGATATCAAAATGTCGGTCTGCTCAACAACGGGATTTTTGCTCACGCTGTCATTGTGCACGCGCATGAAGTTGTTGATCCAGTAGACAGTAGACCAGGACATTGAACTATTGAAAGACTTTGGATGCAAGTGAAACGTAAACTACGCTATCAGTGGTACTAGTCGTGATCTGTTTGCCAGCTACTTGGGAGCCTTTCAGTGGCGCAACAGTCACAAGCACAACGTTTTCGGCTGCTATTTGCAAATGCTATGCGCCAATTACAACATTTAGTATTTACTGACTGGTTTGTAAAGTGACAGTTATTTGCAAAAGCTATGACGGACATTTATGGTTTTTTCTAACAATACACACTGTGCATTGCAATTTTTTTCATACGAAATAATTTGGGACCGGACTTCGGAGGATTGCCCAATTATTTGTGTATGCCTTTGATTAAAAATCATCGAACATGTACACAATCGGTAGTGTATGGCATCTAATACACATCATTGAAAAGGTACACAATCAGTAGTTAAATTCATCTAATACACATCATTGAACATGTACACAAGCCGTAGTTTTTGCCTTTACACAACATTAAACATGCATATAATCGATTTTGACTGCTTCTCTCTCACATTGAACATACAACCAAATAGTAGTGAAGTCCTTCTACTAACACTTGAACAGGGACAGAGTTGGTAGTTGGTAGTCTATGCTTTTACTACACATTCGTGATTATTTGTCTTCTACTGTAGATTAAAAATGCACACAGTCTTTCTAGAAAATGTGCATACGTGTCCTGGCCCCAACAATTTCCAGCCCTTTGTTTTCCACCATGCTGACTAAAGCCTTCGGAGAGGGATACGTTGAAATTAGTCTTGGATACTTAACTGGTGGTAAGCTATTTAACATCAAGAGACTGTATAATGCCAAATCCAAGGTCCTTACAGACTTAATCAAGGACTTCCTGCATGTCGACTATTGCTGGATCAGATTTTTTACTAATTTTCGCCAATGACTGCAAACACGTTTGTCTCACCATGGACACCACACAACATGAAGTCAACAGAACAGCGGCACGTATGGCTACACGGGCAGCAGTTTTCACATACGCGGCTTAAGGCATAGTGGCGTTGATCACTGAAAAAGGGATTGAGCCACTGAGCCACCCTCCCTAGCAAAACGCTGCTGTTGGAGAAGGGGCTGAAAATATCAAAACAATCCCTCCAAAAGTAGATGCTTGGAATATGTGCACTCTGCTGGATAAGAACAATGCAGACTGACCTCAGAAAAGAAGTGACCTTATTCCTGATTGCCAAAAGTAGGGTGAACAATGAAGCCCTTAGGAAGACCTAGCTTTCCAGGAGTGGGCGAACTATGTGAAAGGGGCTTTGGACTGACAGAATAAGCATGGAGTGACGTGAGGCTGACGTGGATTTTGCTACCAAATCTTCAATGATTGCCATCATTGCTGGTATTCCGAAAGGAGTCAGTATTATGACAATTATCGGGAATTAGGTAACTCACTATCATTAAATACTATGCTCAACAATTACAACCCAGATTAAATAAAGGCCAAGTTGTTTGTGGACTGTGTCAAAGTTGCGTTCCAAAGCAGGAAAAGCTAATAATTCTTGGCTTGAGTTCGGGTCACGACCACATCGATGCGATTTATTTTTAGGAGGAAAGTTTGTAGTGGGCCATTGCAAGAATTGCAACAGTAATAGTATTTTGTTGCTGTAGACATGATTACTAATATATTTCGCTTTCCAACGCGTAAACAGATGCCTTTAGAACCCTTTCGGAGATCATGGCCAAATAAAATGGATGCCTCAGAAAGTTCACTTCACTGATACAGCAATTCCCTGACGGTATGCAGACTAGGGTTCGGGAAAATGAGCAGACGTCTAATTTTTTCAGCCACGCTGACTGAGAGAGAGGCGTTGGAATTGGTCTCAAACACCGAACTTATGGTAAGCTGGATCAAAACATTTGTATCCGACTCTTCGGCTAGGTTAATCTCAGAATCTCACCAGAATATGTACGTTAGTTAGTACGTACGCACTGAGGGGGGAAATGGTTGGGGTGGGGGTCAATTTTGGAGATTTTGCCCCTGCGTGCGTAAGGCTGGGGGAGGGGTCAGGGGTATATCCTCAGCAGAAAGTACGTTAACAAATTCTACATATTTCATCCTGAAATTTTGACAGTCCAAAAATAGCATATTTATATCTCTAATGTTGTAAAAATATCAAGCAATATCGTCATAATATTATTGCCTTGTTTTTTCACAAATGAACTCGCTGAGATATTGCTCAAATATTACTCAGTAGTAACAGCGTTACAGTCAGTGTTTCTTTCAGACAATTTCAGAAAATGTGTAAAAATATTAATTTAAAAAAAAACAAAAAAACTACTTTAAATTTAATTTTTATAACATTTTAAAATTCTTAGAAAATTTTTGCCTTTCATCGATTACAATTAATGGAAGCAACAAAATATCGCTTTGTTTGATAAATATTGATGATCCATATCGTTCAGGTTAATCTTGTTACAGGCTCATAGAATTCGATTATAAATATCGTATTGTTTTCAAAATTGGCCGCTCCTGATCATAAGCCCAAAATTATACTTTTCTTATTCGCATTTATTTGTTATTTGTATTTATTTATATTTTGCAATTTTGCAGCTGCACAGGTTGAAAGACTTCAATAACACGGTAAGCCTTGAGACTTACGGAAAGCGCACTTTCGCATTTGCTGGTCCAACAATTTGGAACACCCTTCCAGTCGATCTCAGAAACAACCTGACATTGGAGTCCTTTAAAACCGATTTAAAGACACATCTATTTCACAAACACCTTCTGGGATGATTGTCTACCATATTTTCCATCAATTGCATATTGGCTGTGTTGCGTAGGGTTGAAATGGGTAGAAAGACTTTGACTTGGTGTGCTTGTAATTAGTTTTTGTAGCGTTGCGTTTGTTTTAAATGTGGTAAATTATAATTTAAAAAAAAAAAAATTTTTTTTTTACTTTGTACCGCACTTCGAGCTTTTGGGGATGAAGCGTGTTTTTGAAATAAACGTTATTATTATTATTATTATTAAACTACCTTTGCATTGATGTAAATGTCTACTTTTTTTTTTCTTTTTTTTTTTTGTGACTACACCAGTGGTTTCTCAAAACCTTTTAAAAATTCCCTGTGCCCATGCCAAATTTAGGTTTTCATCAGGCAAGATTTGTTAAATTGTAACAAGTACAATTGGAGATAGCGAATACATAAACAAAAATAAAATAAATTTTGGGTAAAAATCTAGTAACTGCAAACAGTAGTTACTTAATTTAAAGTGTTTGCCCCACGACCGCTAGATGTCACATTGGCTGACATTGGATTAAAAGTGGAAATAAAATTATAAAAGTGTAATATTTCGCGGCGCCCTTGTAAGGAATCCGAAGCAACCCAGGACAGGGCCATGCCAAGGAAATGCGGCACCTGTGGCGAAGTTGGTAAATGGCGCCACTTAAAATTTAGAGCCCCACCGCCCGAGGTCGGACCAGTTAAAAGTCGTTGAGTATATGTTTTAAAAAAAAAAAATTTAATTCAATATTAACATCAATATTAACATCTTGCCTGAAGACGATTTTGGCGCCCATGATGTTGGCACCCGGTGTGACTGTCCTCTTTGCCCCATTTTCATGGCTCTGAACCACTGGGCCAAACGGCGATGTAATCTGTGACACATTAAAAAAAAAATCTGTAACGTCACAATAACCTATAAATTATTTAATTTGTGTGTGTGTGTGGTGGGGGTGGGTGTGGGGACAGAAAGCTTTTTTATTCGTACACATTGAGGAGGGGGGGTCCAAAAAGTACGCGTGCGTCAGGGGTAGAGGGGTCGAAATTTTGACTTTTTTGCGTATGTACTAATGGGCCCTAGTCTAAGCCAAATGGCTAATGGTCAGAGTTAGACTCAGAGTAACTAAGAGTCTTAAAGTTGATAATATAAGAGTAAGACTAGTCCTCAGGAAATATATGTTTTGTTTCTATTAATAAGTTATACAGAAATGCCAAATATTCGTGGATATGAGGTTGGGTTCTGAGTTTATCATCCAATTACCATCTTTTGTCAATTACCGTAAACGCACGTCTCTGACTCTGGCGTAAAATATTGGTTGCTAACACAACCATAAAAGAGTCACATGACTACCGCCATTTAAATGCGGAAGAGGAATAATAAGTGGAAAGTAAACATTAGACCTGTCACCTGCATAGTTTTATAAGAAGTAAGTTAAGTAAGAGTTAATCAAGGATCAACCATTTTATCCACTAAAGCATCAAATGGGACTCGAGTCAACATCTTAATGTATTTGATAAAGGATATAGGCCTACATGAATTGGTGAGACATAATAATATCATATCACTTTGACATTGAATTGATAGTCATTGATAGTATAGCTCATACTCATTCATAAAATCAAATAATATGTTCATATCATATTCATATTGACTTGAGTATTGAGATATTGTTCAAGTTGAGTCAAAAGGCATTGCTGGATTGCTTCATTGCTGCTTGCTTCTGATGGTAAAAATGTATTGCTGGTTCGGCAGTCTCTCTTAAGTTCTGGTTCTGGTAATGTTTCGTTGCTGCATTCATGTACTGGCATCTTTGCAATGGTTGGGGTTGTGATGTTGCTACTCTAACAGCCCCTAGCTGATGCCAGTGCAGCCTTGAAGCTTTCACATATTAACTCTCATCCATATATTTTCTATAATATAATAATACTATAATAATAGTAATATAATATAGTATTATAAATTATATATTTTGTTTTTGGGTGTGTCGGTGTCAAACCACTCATTTACCACTGTTACTGTGGGCTATGTTCTGGTGCCCCACTTTGAGTTTCTGTGTACTTCTTCGAGTTTCTGTGTGCCACTTCAAATGTCTGTGTATTTGATGAAACTGTATGTTGATTTTGGGTTTTCATTATTTATAAAATATTTTGTAGGCCTATTGTTTTTCTTCATTTTTACACTTTCTCCCCACCACTGGTAACTGTAGCACACATGATTTAGTTGAGGGAAGGGAGCGACCACAGGTCATTGACTCTTCCTCCCTCATATCTAGAGGGGTACAATAAAGTTGCTACGTTAGCCATGAAATTAATGTTTTGGCTGAATTTTATGCGGGTAAACGGGTCAATTGAATGTATTTCTAAAAAAATTATTTCATTAAAATTTTAAAGTTTTGTTTCCCTATTTTTGTTTTTTCTTTTTAAGTAGCTAAAACATTCTCTCTCTTTCCCCTCCCCATTTTAGAAGACATGTGTTTAAACTACTTTTTTTTTTTTTTTTAGAATACCGCCATTTTGGTTTTCAAGACACATCTAAGGTCCTGACGACCAAGATGGCTGTCATGGGAAATAAGTGGCACCCCAAACTAAGACATGTGTTTAAACTACTTTTTTTTTTTTTTTTAGAATACCGCCATTTTGGTTGTCAAGACACATCTAAGGTCCTGACGACCAAGATGGCTGTCATGGGAAATAAGTGGCACGCCAAACGTAAATTGACCTAACTCAGTCTGTATTGCTGCATCATTTAAAATTTCCGCTGGATCAAAAATTTGAAATATGAAAAGTCTTGGTTGTCCTGCATTTTTAAAAATAAATAGTTGGTGAATAACACAGAGGTGATCGGCGAACAAATAATAAAAAATATGGTATTTGCGCAGTGAACTCCAGGAGAATGGGACTACTAGTACTAATACTTACAGCAAAATGAGTCCACATACATGCCAACCTGTATGGTTTATCAGTACTTTTTTCAGGTTTTATACATTGCCAATTTGTGCAGCTTTACAGGTTTTGTACCGTTTTTCAATGGATTAAGATCAGAAATATTTTTGCATAAGAGACATGTTCACAAAACAGACTGTGCAATAAATTCAACATTGAACAACGGGAAGTTTAAATCCTTTTGGTCCATTCAGAATGACTATGCTGATGATGGGTAGGCCTACTAAATTTAGAAATTGAACCAGTTTCATTGAAATAATTTGTTAATACTATACCCTAATTACAAATCCTTTGTGATTGTGTAATTGTTAACAAGTACCGTAGTGTTATTAAGTGTACTTTGAATTTCTATGAAACACTTAAATATATTTAATATTACTATCAATCATTAATGACTTAAATCATTTTTCTTATTTATTACTGCGGCATGGCTTAATTTAATGTAATAGCTAAATTTTATGTGAAGCGCACTAAGCCCAGCCCTAGGCCGGGGTACTGCTTTAAATAAAACCACCCTTAATAATACTAATAATATTCTTTTTGTAATATTATTTTACTCCAGCTGGGAACTTCCATTTAACACTTCATATCCACATGGTGCATGGAGTTTAAAGAAAACAACTTCTGTCAACATGACATTTTTCTCCAGGTGCAGTGAAAAATGGGGTTGTTAGTTGATGTAAACTTAACTCAATTACTTTTGCAAGAGGAACACTATTTATTTTACTTCATTAATTTAAATACAGGAATCTTTTACACTAAAGTTATAAGGCTGGCGTAATTAACAGAATAATCATGTTTAATAACCTCTAAATTGCTTTCAAATTTATTATCTGAACACATTTTTAATAAAACTGCTATTGACAGAAAAAAACAACTAAAATTTGACAAAAATAGGACTTAATTCAAGCTATTGTCATTTAAAAGATGTGATCAATCCATTTATGAATGCTGTAAAACAGGCTACATTGTACATCTAGTTTGTTGAGGGGGGGGGGGATATTTCATTTTTTAAATTCATGCATTCAAAACTGATAGAAATGAAGAAAAAGTTATAAATTATATTTTTTATAGTTTTCTTTTTTTTCTGTACCGATACAATTTGTTTTGCTGTTGTACAGTTTTTTGTATGACTTTTTTGTATAATTTTTTATCCCAAAGGTCGGGACGTATGAGTCTGTTCTATTTTATATAATCATTAGCCCTCTCTCTCATTTTAATCAGTACAATGTCAACGTAGGATCCCTCGAATATGAAGGATGGGCTCAAATAGAGCTGACCAATCACGTCACTTATACAACCTATTTGCCTACTATGAAATTACTAAATGCTATCATGGGAACCCCCTCCCCCCCAATCTCCATCGTCACAAATTATCACACATTAGGCACATTACCACACATTCAGAAATTTAGACCTGTTTACTCTTACAATTTTGGCATACAATGAAAGATTCTGTCAAAACTATGATTTTAAGACACTGGGTTAAAAAATATATTCCAGTTGTTGTTATGATTTATGAATGTTAGTTTTAACTCTTTCTAGGCCAGGTGCTGAATGGACAGAAATACAATTGGCTGGGGACCATCCATAACTCTATTACATATGCACTGAGAGGGGAAAGGGGGAGGTGTCTAAATATTTTGAAAGGCTATAAAATATCACCACCACATTTGACAAATTTAGTAAAAATTCTCTCTTTTGATGTATGACATAATTTTGTGACATAATTATTTCATTCTTCAGCTAAATGGCGGCGATTGCAAAAATGGAGAAAACTAAAAACTAAAAAAGAAAATTGCATTCTCAACTGCTCCACACAGCAGGGTTAGATTTTGACATATTTTATTTTAGAGCTATTTAGTGGCATTTGAAAGGTATTTTTAGAATTCATTAAGCAGCTGTACACTTTTATTACACCAGCACTCCTCTTACCTTCTTCCATTTCAGCTTGCAAACTACAATGTAACATAAAATAAAATCAGGCTCCTAGGCTTAAAGCTGGGGTGGGCAATTCACAACCTGATAGGTTAAACATTGTGGCCCCGGCACAAATGAACTTATTTCTTGATTCGATTAGCAATTATTTTCATTTTTGGCACAAAGGCACATTTCTAATATGTACGCATTTTTGGGACGTACGTAGCATTTTGGTGTAACTGTCCCTTTTATTGGACTTATTTAAAACAATATATTGAACTAAGTAATAAATTATACAAAAAATTTTACTATTAAAATAAAATGATTTACAGCTAGGTAAGAGTCACCGTATTTTCCACAAGCATTACAATTGTGTGTAGAATGATGCAAAACTATAATCAGGTCTGCAAATGCATGGACATGTCGCACCATGTATCTGTTCCCTGGTCCAATGGGCATTCGTTACTCTTTGTTGTTGGTAGAATCATATTATGTTGCAAAGACTCTGGGCTTTGTGTCTTTTGCCCGGGCCCATCTTTTGTCCACAGTTTCATGCTGTTTCTCCGATCAGCTGCTGATGCCACCACACTGAAACTCTGATGATGTCATTCTTTGATATATTGACATAATGCCAAGTTCCCGGTCACTCTTTATCAGATAACTTGATTCACAAATTAAAGCTGCTTATATTTGATTGTGTGTCCCCACTGGTCAGCCATCAAATTCTAATCCCCTCTCCCCAAAGCTTCAAGACACTTACCTTTTGTTCTGCACATACTTAAGGGAAAGGGTGAGGGGGGGGATGTGATCAAGAATTGTCAATAAAATACATTGAGGAAATCCTTTTCTAAAAAAGAAACGAAACACTGGAGGTATATCAGTATAAAATATTTAAAAAAAAACAACTTAATAGTGAAACAAGAAAAAGAGATATTTAGTCTAAACATATCTTGTTCCAGGGAAACGATGGGGAGCGCTGCTGTTACACCATCAATTAATACCACACCATGTGCACCATTGTAAGCTAAGGCTTTATGTTAGTCTGACTAAGTGTTGTTTTTTTAACCTTAAATTTACTGTATATATGAATATTTGCTTTTGCTCTGAGTCTATGACAAAATGAAAACAATTTGGTCATGCATCTGGCTGACAAGAAAATAAACAAACACAATTTTTTTAATGCCCCTGAACTATATCAATGTTCTAATGTCCCTGCTGCCTTTAACACCACAGAATTATTGCATCATATTTAATTTGAGACTTTTCCCCATAAAAAAAAAGAATGGAAAATATTATGCACCAAACTCACTTGTGGTAATTTTAAGAATCTCAGAGCAGTTATTGGGAATTTTATTTTGCATACTGTTGAACTCAACATTACACCATACATTTATTTATCCCTAGAGAATTATATTGATTGATATTGATATTAAAGTAGTCAAATCATTAAAAATGATTTACTGAGTCATGTGAATGCGATACCATACTATTACTAGATTTTATATTTATTAAACTCATATGTGAGCCTAACTGAATGTGGAGTAAAACAAATAATCTTAACAATTTAGCTGTTTGATTTATATGCCAATGTCACTATAATATATGATTTGGTCTAATAATTCATAGGAAATAAATGACAAACTTTAGCTTACACAAATTTTGAGCAGTTGTTAACAAACTGCATGCATACAAAATAAAATTCAACTGTTCACAACCAATTTAAATTTAAAGGCTAATTAAAATGGGTCTATTAGTCATGTATTCACCAGTACCATGATAAAAAGTGAAAATGTTTTATTGTATTTCTGTTTCTATATTGCGAAGTTTTAAAACTGATTAATTTTGTTTTTAATTATGTAGGGGAGATTTGTCACAGATACGTCTCTGCCAAATAAGTCAATGGCCATAACATGATAAATATGACATGATTATTTTCAAATATGTACATTGTTTAATTTTAAAAAATGTATTTGAAGTTTTCTGATATCTTTAAGTTTCAGATAAAAATGGGTGTGTGGAAAGAACGGGGCCTCATTTACAAAGTGGGCTTTGTTGGAGTCCTTATTGGTGCCTTGATGTTCATCATAGGTTTCTGTGCTCCATCATGGGCTTTCTTTAAGTTTCACTGGTCAGAAGATCAAACCCAAAGCATGGGCCTGTGGCAGTCTTGTACTGGAGATTTGAGCATATGTACCTTGTCGGTCAATAGCGACAACCTGGGTGAGTTTTCATTTAACTTTTGTCTCCCCCCCCCTTCTCTGAAATTTAATAATTTGTTAGCGTTTGAATTTGTTAAACCCAGATTACTTCATGTCTTCTAATAATTTGTGTATTAAAATTTATTAAAAGATTTAACTTTAATTCTCTCTGTGGTAATTTCATTTTACTGAACCCCTCCTACATCTCCCTGCTGCATCATTTTATGGTATTGCTCCCAAATGTCCCAAATGCATCTTTTCATTGCAGAAAGTATAAATTTCATGCTTGAAATAAAACTCTGTTTGAAATCGATTCTCCAAATTTTAAAAAAAAAAAAAGGATTGGAATATCACAATAACCCTTTATTTTATGTCATGTGTATCAAATAATTTTAAAATGATTTTTTCTTGCCATTAAGGTTGGTTGAAAGCAGTTCGAGCTCTGGAGTGCATATCAATGTTCTTCGCCGTTGCTTCCTGCATCAGTGGCCTATACTGCAACTGTATCTTGAAAGCTCATATGATGCCAGATTTTTTCAATAAGAATATGGAAACATCTGCCATTGTATCAGGTAACTTATTGAATTTCACCACAGATTTTTCTTTAAGTTTAACTTGAAAAAGGATAAAAATTAATTAAATTTGCCTTATCATGTTGAAATACAATTAGGGTCTGACATGTGATAAACAAATATAGTGGGGGAAGTAATGCTTTTTAAGAATTTAAATATTAACACTTAAATATTTTTAATAGTTTTTTAATAGCATGAGGGAATGCGTTCAAGCCATGTAAAGTAAATAAATTATGAAACAAGATATGTTCAGGCTTGAAGACCAGACAATTTAACAGATGTTCTGGCGACATGGCGTCTTCAGCAGACAATGCAAAACAAGAAACAACAGAACAATTAAATTTAAAAAAATGAAAACACCCAGTAAAGTAAATGTAAATATACATTTGTTAAGTTATTTTGAACCACAATGTAGTTTGTTTTATATAAATAAAAGAAATTATGATTATTTCTGTTCTAAGTTGGAATAATTTATATTACAGCTACGCTGAACTTTCAAATTTCATAAATGTTGCCCAAGAAATTGCCAAAGAAAATTTTGCTTATGGTAGAAATGGTTTAAATGAAGTAAAAACATTGTAATTCTTGTATGCATAAAAATTTATCAACTTCAGCTGCAATACCCATTTATTAAGCTTAGCTGCCAGACCCATTTATTAAGCTTAGATGCCAGAACTATTTATTAAACTTAGCTACCAGACCTAGTTATTAAACTTTACAGCCAGACCTATTTATTAAGCTTAGCTGCAAGACCTATTTATTAAACTTAGCTTCCAGACCCAATTATTAAACCTATATATCAAGCTTAACTACCAGATGTATAGCTGCCAGACCTATTTATTAAGCTTAAATACCAGACCTATTTATTAAACTTAGCTGCGAGACCTATTTATTTAACTTATCTGCCAGACCTATTTATTAAACTTAGCTGCCAGACCTATTTATTAAACAAAGGGGCCAGACCTATTTATTAAACTTCGCTGCCAGACCTATTTATAAAACTTAGCTGCTAGACCTATTTATTAAATTTAAGGGTAAAAAGGGGAGAGACTGCCATCAGGTTAGAACAAAATAAAATGAGTAAAACAAAGTAGGGTTAAACCTGAAAAAAAGGAACGCAACAAAACAACGAACGTGTCGGCAGAAAGCCTTCGTCAGCGAAGAAAACAACATAAAAACGGTATAAATATAAAAAAAAACACTTAGCTTAGAAGTAGTTATCCGTGGGCAGCAAAAGAAACACTTATCTTTGGTCATTAAAATTCATGTCATAATTTTTGCATTCACTTCTTATTAGTTTCCATTCAGTTTACATTAAATATTTGGTTGATTCAAATCACTTCATTTTGTTTATCTGACATCCACAGTTATATTTGGTTGTTTTGGCCTCATCATCTTCGCCACCCAGATCCAGCACTACTTTCCCGAACGCCGTGGCCAGGTTTCCTGGGGTTTCATTCTTGTCTGTATCTCAAACTCTTTGATTGGCATCAGTGCGTTCCTCATGCTGATCTCACATAAGCTGCACATCATGGCGGAGCAAGATCAGTTTCTTCACCGCCAGCTGAGCAGCGACCCCTACCCTCACCTGCAAGTCCCCGAATACACGCCCGACGGAAGTAACCAAGTTTACATTGCAAGCTCTGAAGGGCTCGTTGACTTTGGGCCCCCTCCGTATGAGAGTGTCGTCAGCTGTTTCCCTCAGAACGAGACACCACCGCCACCTTACTCATTGGTAGAGAAGTCGGGGAAATAACATGAAGCCCAACTCTCTGGTTGTGGAATTATTCAAGTCTCTGTGTTTAGTGTTAAAGCTGGAATCTTACAAAAACTGTAACTTCTAACTGTTGAGCAAACCTAGCCTTATAATGACCTAATTTGAGGATAAGCTGAATGTTTTTACACTTAATCATCTGATCTTTGGGGAAAACCCATTAAAACATTTAAAGAATCAACATTGCTTCTACAGCTTTAGTTAATGTTTAAAAAATTATATAAAATTGAAATGCAAATTTAGTTTTGATCCCTTTTTCAAAAATTGCTCGGGATTCAAGACCAAAGTGAAGTTGCAGATTGAAATGTTCATGTTCAGTTGAATATTTTCAGATACTTAGAAGCAGTGTTTCTATTTCAGCATATCAGTAAATATCATAACCTTATCTTCACCAGTGAATATGGATTTTTTATTTTGATAATCCTTTTAATTTAATTCCGGTGGTTCACTGTTATTCTTACTGTTGGCAACTTTTTATTTGATCATAACTAACCACTAGTCCTTGTTTATTAGTTTTGGTCTCAGTTACCCTCAGATCAGGAACATAATATATTTGAGCAGTTAATGCCTCAGAAAGTCAATCAAACAATGTGCTGGCAAACTCATGACCTTACCAACCCATGCCCCCACTCATGCCTTCACAACACATGCCATCAGCCCATGCCCCACCAACCCATGCCCCCACTCATGCCTCCAGAAACCATGCCCCCACCAGCCCACGCCACCACCACCAACCCATGCCTCCTACCAACGCATGCCTCCCACCAAGCCATGCCTCCCACCAACCCATGCCTCCTTACCAGCCCATGCCTCATACCAGTTCATCCCCAACAGCCCCTGCCCCCACCAGCCCATGCCCCAACCAAACATGTGAAGCATGCCCCCATTAACCAATGCCCTCCATCTCATCCACCCACCAACCCATAATCCCCACTCATGCCTCCACAACCCATGCTGGCCTCACCAGCCCATGCCCCCCTCAATCCATGCCCCCCATAAACCCACGCCCCCTTTCGTGTTTCTAATTGTTATGAACTTTACTGGCTTCCTTAGGCCACTATTTCTGATTGGCCGATTCAAATCGTTGTCACTTGAGATACATTTAGCCCTCTAACTTTTTTGGTTTCATGAAATTAAATCATTATATTTGTACTTTAGGATCTTTTGTCTGATACGTTATACAGATTTTTATAACTTTTCATTTGTGAATATTATCCTACAGTTACTATTTGCCATTCATTCCATGTGCAAGTTAACCTAAATGTACATACAGGTCAGGGCATATTATACCTGCTCACCTTATGTTTATTCTGACCTATTTTTTAAGTCAGACCAGCTTTGAACTAGCAAATTCAATAATTTGATTTAAACTGGAGATGCTGGATATTATGATGGTGTTAGTCACATCAAAATTATTTCCCTATAAATGAGTCATGTGATGTAAGGTTGAGATCTATTCGTTATTACCAGTTGATGTAAAGATCTATTAGTTCTTACCAGTTGATGTCAAGTTAAAAATTTGCTGATGTTCTTCACTGATCTATTTACTAATATTTTACTTCTTTATTTTAATTTACAGTAAAAAATGCCAGTATTTGATGAATCTGTACATTACAGTGTTTAAATTAATCTAAAATGTTGAGATGTATTATTGGTTAGCCTCACAAACAGCCCCTCCCCTACTGGTCTTGCACCCCTGTGTAAAATTGTTGTAAATATGTTCGTTTTTGATATGACAACTCTAGGTGCATAGACTGTCCTGTTAGTAATCAGATGTTTTTAATATGACAACTCTTGGTGCATAGACTGTCATGTTAGTTATCGGATGTTTATCATGCTATGATTACATTCAAATATTCTATTTATATAAGATACTCTAGAGCCAGTATCAGATAGAGCCAGTATCAGACATGAAATTTGTCTCTTCTTCTCCTCTGTATGACGTCATCATGTATATTACCAATGGAAGGAACTTGTCCAGAGTAATGGCATCATGTATATGACTGATGGAAGAAAGTTGCCAAATCTTAAGTTTGATGCTAAATAAACTGCAGTGGTGCCCAAATTTTGTTGTTGTCAATTATTTATGGTGATGTCCAGTAACCCAAATTATATAAACGTCAGTCTCTACTGGAGCCTATGGTTCAAATGTACCAGCAACATTATTAATTTGTACATGCTTATTTGATATTAGATAAAATCAATTGAGACACACAAATGTATTGATATAACAGACAAGGGTAAAGGCTGCCATACTGAGAGGTCATTGTGTGATTCATCTATCTGATAAATTGTAAAATAAGTGAGGACAAGAGTAGATATAACTAATCAATATAAGAAATGAAAGTGTACATATATATATATATCTATATATATATTCTGTGCTGTTATAATAATATTGTTTAAATGATTAGATATATATTATTTAAATACAGTTTCGCTTCAATAAAGTGCTTAGCAATGTCAACGTCAAGTCTGAAAATTAATTTTATGCAGAAGTGGCAGTGACAGTTACATAGAGTAAATAGAATCAGTCTTCAATAACACTTTGAAAGTAAAATAAATATTACTTGCAATAATAAATGATAAAATTTTGGCTAAAATTATGTACTGGTATAGGTTTTAACTATTTTCTATATACTTCTATTTCTAACTGCTTGAACTTTTATTTCTAACTCTGATATTTTTGTTTTAAATTCCTCATCGTCAAAATAAAGCATTAAAGTTAAAGTGCATCTATTTTTCAAGCAATACATTTATTAGTTGATCAGTGTAATAAGTCATCTACATATGAACATTAGTTCATCAGTGTAATAACGGTCCACTACATATGAACATTTCAAACTTCTCTGTTTATTACCTTTAATTGCTAATACATTTTTTATTATTATTTATGGCATCCTTCCGTCTATGTGAGACGATGGAGTAGCTGTATAGTTCTACACTTTGACGAGTGGCTCACTAGGCCAATCCTTGAATGGCAATCACGGCAGCATCTCTCGCAGGAGAATGTTGAAACCCGGTAAATTCTTGATTTTCGAATTGTTCTTTTTGATTCAAGGGCCTCGTTTTGAGTAACTTCTGCCTTTTTCAATCCTCCAAACACTGGTGTACGCCAGTTGGAGCGATGTTCGGCAATCAACTCCCATTCGTTTGTTTCAATATTGGCTTTCCTCATGCTTCGTTTGCAAACGTCAATAAATCTCAGGCGCAATCGTCCAATATGTCTTGTCCCCTCTGCCAACTCTCCATACAGCAGAATTTTGGGATACGTCCTTCCTCCATTCTCCGTACATGACCTAACCAGCGAAGCCGTCTCTTGATAAGAAAGGAGAATGTGCTAAACATGTGTGTACGTTCCAAGACCTCCACGTTAGGTACCCTGTCCTGCCAATGAATGCGCAAAATGCGATGCAGACATCTTTGATGGAAGCTGTTGAGTTTCCGCTCCTGTCTGGTATATGTGGTCCACACTTCGCTACCATATAGGAGCGTGCTAAGCACGCATGCCTGATAGACACTTATTTTTGTTTTATCATTTAGATTTATCATCTACACTACCAATACAAACTGCACGGCCATATACTTGAGCAAGTTTCCTCCGTAAAGTACCTGGGTGTTACCATTCAAAGAGAGGTCCGCTGGGACGAGCATATCAACAATGTATGTAACCAAGCAAACCAAGCCTTGGGGTTCTTAAGGCGAAATCTAAAGATTGGCAACTCCTGTGTGAAAGAAAGAGCATATAAAGCCTTTATCCGTCCGATTTTAGATTATGCATCTTCAGTCTGGGACCCATTTACCCAGAAGAGCATTGACAGGTTGGAGGCGGTCCAGCGACGAGCAGCACGCTTTGTCCTAAACCGCTACAGGAATACCTCTAGTGTTGGCAGCATGCTAGAAACACTAGGCTGGTCACCATTGGAGAAACGACGACGACAATCCAGGCTCTCCATGATGTACAAGATAAATAATGGGCTGGTCCACTGTTCCAGTATTAAACAGAAACTCGTCCCTCTCCCCCATAGACAGCGACGAGGCCATGACAGGCAATTCAGGCTCATACCAGCAAGAAGCCAGTATAGGAGCTGCTCATTCCTGCCCAAGACAATCAGGGACTGGAACCATCTTTCAAAAGGAACAGTTGAGGCGACAACACTAGACGCATTTGTGTCTATTGCCTCAAGCCTTCAAACCCCTAGTGCATAATTTCCTCATCACCACCAGTAACAGAAACATTGCAAATCCCATCTACATGCATAGGAGCCAAAATGATCAATAAATTGATCGTGGGCCCTTAAGATATAGAAGAAGAAGAAGATTGAGATTATTCCAAACCCGCGTATTCAGTTTAGCCATAGTTGCTGCTGCTTTTGCAATCCTGATATTGATCTCTTCATCAACGGAGAGAGAACTAGAAATATAAAATAATACCGGTACATAAAATTTATATATGTTTATTTATAGTTTATTAATAAAATAAATTAGGCAGACTTTTATCCTTTAATTTCCTTACAGATAGTTTTAAAAATTTGTACCAAAAAGAATTATAGGTACTGATTAATGTACGGGTACTTTAAAATATATTTTAATATATCTAATTTAATCTAGAGAAAAAAAATTATTTCATACGATTTTTTTATTTTTAAATCCTTTTTATTAACTTCGCTTTTGTTCATGCGTTTCTTTCTGTCTGGGTGTGTGGCAAAATCTTCAGACAGCTATTTGACCCGCTTCCCATCAAACTTAAACTTGGCATATAGACTCTTTGCCGATGTCAACACATGCTATCAAATTGCAGCTCCACACCCCAAAAATCAATTTTTCCTGTTTTTTTCAAGGGTAAGATGAAGGAAATATGATTTCACGAAATAAAATTCCTGATAAATGTGCTACACGAGAGTCATAAAAATATCGCAAGTGCATGCATAACATTAACATTTTCTAATATTGATTTTCTGAAATAGTTGGTGAAATAAATCAGTGATGTAAAAACGGATGGGACATTAGAATATTATTATAATATAAAATAATAAAAATGCATTTAAAGGATTGATACGAATTTTTTGTTTTTATGGGTTGTTTAATCAACAAATCTTCACTCTGCAGTTAAAGGGAAATTATCCAAGAAAAAACTTTATTGATTTTTGTAAATGCAATTATAAATAAGTTGTTAAAATTATACACTCAAATAATTATAATTAGTTTTTACATTAAATTAAAATCACCAGGAAAAAGTTGTTTCTTGCATTATCATTAGGCTAAGCCTAGGAGATAACAATTATTTTGCTTTTAAATTTGACACTTTTTTTTTAATAAACCAATTTGCTAATGAATTTTTCAAAATATGTTTCAAATTATAAGGCTTCATTTGCTAGTGGACAAGCATGATATATATGTAGCAAAGAATGAAATGAATGGTATTCAAGTTTATTACCATTTTTAATCTATATTTGTATAGTTATGACATAATATATGTACATAAATATATAATTTAACTCTTGTCACGAAACTTAGTTCAAATTTTAAAAAAATAACATCAAGCAAAACAAAATATCAATACCGGACAATAAACTCATTGGTAAAAAATCTCTATAAGAATTCATTGTTTTTCCCCCTTGGAACATAAATTGGAAGATTATTATGTTTAGAGAATTTAAGTTGAGTAACTTTAAAAAATGTTCTATATCGTACTGAAATTTTCTAGATTACATATTTTTTAATGAAATTAAAGAGAGCCCCGGTAAACAGAAAAGGAAAGTTGTTATTAAATCTGTATAGGCTCTCAGACATATTTTTAGCTCAACAAAATTCTATTTTGTTTAAATTATATTTTAGTATTTACTCAACGGTTGAGTCAACCGGTATATAAAATAATTTTTACTCATAGTCAGAATCTTTTAAAGTTATTAAAGCTACAAGCTGAGAGATTAATCAATTATCTTATTTTATTAGCAACTAGTAAATTAAATACCGAGTGTTTCAGCTCAACTATTTCTTGAGCAGATAAAATTTGTTTACGTTTATAGGAGGTGTCTTTTTGTATTGTCAGGTAGCAGATGTCTACTTCTATGGTCAGGTAGCAGATGTCTACTTCTATGGTCAGGTAGCAGATGTCTACTTCTATGGTCAGGTAGCAGATGTCTACTTCTATGGTCAGGTAGCAGATGTCTACTTCTATGGTCAGGTAGCAGATGTCTTCTTGTATGGTCAGGTAGCAGATGTCTACTTCTATGGTCAGGTAGCAGATGTCTTCTTGTATGGTCAGGTAGCAGATGTCTACTTCTATGGTCAGGTAGCTGATGTCTTCTTGTATGGTCAGGTAGCAGATGTCTACTTCTATGGTCAGGTAGCTGATGTCTTCTTGTATGGTCAGGTAGCAGATGTCTACTTCTATGGTCAGGTAGCTGATGTCTTCTTGTATGGTCAGGTAGCAGATGTCTACTTCTATGGTCAGGTAGCTGATGTCTTCTTGTATGGTCAGGTAGCAGATGTCTACTTCTATGGTCAGGTAGCTGATGTCTTCTTGTATGGTCAGGTAGCAGATGTCTACTTCTATGGTCAGGTAGATGATGTCTTCTTGTATGGTCAGGTAGCAAGATGTCTACTTGTATGGTCAGGTAGCAGATGTCTACTTTTACACAAGGGTTACAGGTGTCCACTTTTGTATGGACAAATAGTTCATGACCATTTACAATTTACATACACATATATATATCCTCAAGCCATTTCACAGTTCAAACCCTAATATTTGCACATTTTTATATGAACCTAAACAAAATAAATTACACAAGTGAAAATAAGTTTAATGGTTTTCATATTTTATTTACAATGCAATGAAATCTTTGACAGCACAAATTTTTCAATTATTTACAATAAATTCAGATGAATAAATGTACAATTGAGAAAGAATTAAAACAGAAAACACAATGTTCAAAACTTATAAATAAATTGTTTTTTTAATTGACACATTTTTTAAAGAATAACTTATAATGGAGAAAAAAAAGATAAACTGTATTACTCTACTTCATATCGAGGGGACTCTGAGAATGGGATGAAGCTGAAATACATTAATTAAAATAATTAATCAATTAAAACAGAGTTATTTATTAACAAAAAATATTAAAATACTAAAATTTCTTAAATGAAATGTAATGGAACATTTGTTTAATGTAATCTTTTTTAAAGAAAAAAAAATTATACTCAAAACTGTGTTAGGCTATGTTGTTAGCACTTATAAATTGTTTCAGTTTATTCGTTTATTCATCTTTCCATGTGTTACAATTTTGTTGGATTTAATGCACTGAAAAATAACAACATTTAATTACTTATATCAATGGCTCTACTATAACACAAGATATAGAACTCCTAATTTCAACTGCTCTAATACAAAGTGGATCATCAACAAGTAAAACAAATGTACATTTAAACACATTTTATCTATATATTGCCATAAGAATGAAAATTTTATGAATTTAAAATGTCACATCTAACTAAATACAAGGCAGTACAATGAAATGTTATTGTGAATTACGAATAGAGCACCTTATTTATTTGAAATTATAAAAAGAATATTCTTTCAAGGCAGTGTCAAAATGTAAAGGATGAAAACGCCAAATTTTCAACTTTCTTAAATATGAAGGAGTTGTTTAAAAATGACCTCTAAAAAATTTAAACCTATAGACTGTGGTTACGTCAAGTTAACTAAAAAAAGACATAAACTTAGAATACCTGCTCATCCCAATCATTAGTCACTTCCTTCATTTTATCAACTTTATCTTGCAACAGCTGGACTTCCCTGCAAAAAAATCATTACACAGATAATTCAGGTAAAAAAATAGGCAAAATTAACAACTTTAAGAAAAATAAAATATATTAAATTTGACATTTTTTGCTATAGTGTCAATAGTGATGACAATTTTTACTATAACATTTTGTAAATATTATTATTATAGAATTGAGAAATTCCATTTAAAAATTTATAATAAAATTATTCTATGATGAGCATAGAAGTATGACAAATAATAAATGGCTATGAATTACTTCATTTCCATCTCTATTGCCGATGTAAGCTTGGCCTCAGCCTCATCAAACTGCTTCTTGGTAGACTCAAGGGTGTGCTGAAGATAAAAAAACGACACTCATAGCAGAAAAAGAAACATCTTTGAAAAGAAATGAAAGTGTTCCTTGTTTCACCACTTGGTTAAATAGCCAAATGGTAAAGATAACGCTAGCTGTCAACATTACCCATTCCTGTCACTATAACTTTAACCAACACTTGACCACAGTACCGGTACTTATTACTTGTAACTATCCATATCACCCATTCCTATCACTTTTACCAATACCTGTCCCTATTACCAATCCCTGTCAAGTCTGTGACCAAATCCAGCTTATGGACTAGTTGAACATATTAAATTGTCTAACAATAATAAGGAGTAATTGTCAGGTAACGGCGTGACAAACTTTTTACAAGATTAACTAAACTTACTAATTATATCATTAATAAAATAACTGAGTTACCTTTGTATTTTTTAAAGACTTGACATCAAGCCATTTGTCCTTTGGAACTTTCAATAAGCTCAGTCTTTTCGCAACACTAAAGGAAAGGACGTTTTAAGAATAAACATTTTATTTAGACAAATTTTTCACAACACTAAAAGAATGAAACACAATCAGTAATTTATTAATGGCAACCTCATAAAAGTAATCAGAATCTTTTTAAAAGTAAAAAATCATAAAGATATTCCAGAGAAGTAAAATTAGCAAAATTTTAATTTTAAAAATGCATTCATTTAATGCTCCTCACAAGATTTCACTGATATAATGGGTTAGTGATGGGACGATTAATCGGAATCGTATCGGAATAATCAAAATATCGGGATTTTTTCAAAGCATCAGGAATCGGAGCTGAATAATTCAGACCCGATTCCGATACCAAAACGATTCTTAACTGATTAACTGCCGTAAGCCGGTGACAGTGCAAAGTTTGTTTCGCGTAATAATATTCTTTATTTTGTTCCTAGATTTTTAATTATCGGCAGGAAGTTTAGAACTTTTATAGACACATTTGAAATTTTTATCAAAGACACTAGCTACATCTTTGTATTATTAAAAGGGAATTATTGATAGATGTGTTTATATAAAACCTTTCCAAGACATTTTTATCTATCACACTGTAAAGATTCAATAGCAAGTTAATAAACTTTTATAATCAAATCTCAACTTTTATATTAATTAAATATGTTAATACCTGGGCACAGTAATACATATATGTAATGGCCAGGAATCGGAATCGTATCGATCGGGATAATTGGGTAGAATCGGAATCGTATTGGAATCATTAAAAATTTTGGTATCGTCCCATCACTATAATGGGTTTTAATTAACCATTTTCATTTGTTTGTTATACTCATAACTTATTTTTTTTTCTTTCAGATTTACTTTTTTCTGATAGACTTGATTGTTCTTTCTTCTGCTTGAGTTCGTTGTCCAGAAGTATTAAGAATAGAATCTTCCAACCAAGACATGACTAATTCTTGTAAAGAAGATGGCACAGGCTTCCATTTTGAGACAGCAGATCCAGATATCTTTCTCAGCTTGAATTGTGCCGAATTGCCATTGTCACCATGGGGTTGGTTTCCCTGGGTTCTGCTCTTAATTTTCTTGACCATCTTGTCCCTTGTTTTTGTGTGAGATTAATAGGATAGTCCCTAGGAGAAGTTGAAGCATTTATTAATTTCAGTCTTGTCAGTGCTCTATTTTCAAATAGGCCTACAGGTATTAAAGAAAAAATAACAATGATTCAATAATTTTAAAATATTTTATTACTATAATATTGGTTATATTATATACTTATTTAAATGCTGGTTTGTTTATCTGTGTATCATAGTATATGTAGGTACAGACGTATAGACTATAGAGTACACCATAACTGTCGGTAAGGATGAACAGGCTGAACAGGTTGTGAATCAAATAAAATTTGAAGTGCGACTAATGATTTGGCTAGGTTCAATAAAGTAAAATTTTAAAATTAATTTAATTGGTAATCCAGCTCAAATTTTCTGATACATCTGCTGACAAGTGACAAGCACAATTTCAAACTGCTTACCATCAATTTGTTCCAGTTGAGTTTGAATAGATTAACTCAGAGTAGGCTACACTCATCATTGATTTGCAACACAACACTACTGACCTCCAGCTCTTTGTGACATTTACAATTCAACTAAAATTATTTGAGCTTAATAATAATTTGATTAATTAACTAGTTATTAATATTAGTGAGTGACCAATTAATACTATTATTATTAATATAGTATAGTTAAGTATAGCCGAAGCCTACTATTAATTTATAATAAATAGTAATTAGGCCTACTATCAATAAATAAATCAGGCTATTTTGGCAGGTAATTTACACCACCTCCAACAAAAACAAAGTAACAAAGCAAAACAGACCCATTTTTCGTATAACTTACCCACAAAAACGTTACCCCACTTAAACTTAATGGCTTAATTATACAGAGCAGTATGAAATAAATTAAAAGCTCCCCTGTTATCTGAGGGAACTACATTTAAAGTATTTTTAAAAGTATAATTTCATCTCTTTGTTGGAATACAACAATTTAAAAAATTGTACGAGATATGATAAAAAAAGTACTTTTGCATGAATCTTTTGTCTTTCACGGCGCAATTGTGGCAAGGAGAGCTCTTCTGTCTTCAAAGATACGTTATTAAAGATGCCCAATTGGATGTATCTAGATTTAAATATATGTTGTATTTATTTATTTTAATTATGTCTGGGTGTCCAGACTCTTTCTTAACCAGTGGTGGGTTTAGACAAGTTTAAATATCTAAGTATCTCGTGTTCTAGGCATCTTGGAATATGTAAGGCCACCCGTGCAAGACCATGTAAAGAATGTAGGCCTACTCGGTAATACAGGGGTGTCAATATCAGGGGGCGCATATTCGATTTACCAGGAGCTGTAGTCTTAGGCTTCGCCAAGGACACAGCTTTTCATTTACATGATTGTGCATCCATTACGGAGGTCACCCCTATAGATTTGAGTGTGTAGGGGTTATGTGCAGTGTTTCTTTCAGACATTTCTCCCCGGGGGCGGGGGGGGGGGGCTGGGCCAGTTGCTAGTGGGCAGAGTCCAGAGGCGTATCTAAGGTTGGCAGATGGGACACACGTCCCCGGGGCGAGGGCTCCCGGGGGACCCAGATTAGGCTTGCTTTTCATTTACATGATTGTGCATCCATTACGGAGGTCACCCCTATAGATTTGAGTGTGTAGGGGTTATGTGCAGTGTTTCTTTCAGACATTTCTCCCCGGGGGCGGGGGGGGGGGCTGAGCCAGTTGCTAGTGGGCAGAGTCCAGAGGCGTATCTAAGGTTGGCAGATGGGACACACGTCCCCGGGGCGAGGGCTCACGGGGGAACCAGATTAGGCTTTGATGGTATTAAATGGTTGAGAACAATTAGATTCAGACTTGTGATTTGGGAGGGGGGGCGTAAAATAATCATACTCCCCTCTCAGTTCCCCCGGCTTCTAAGAATGACACAGAATACAGTGGAGTCAGTTAAGCACTGGATGACTATAAACAAGCTTAAATTGAACAACGAAAAGGCCGAATTGATCCACTTTGTTACCACTCAAAAGCTAAAATATATAAATAACACACAAAACCTTACTCTCTCAGGTATACAGATTGAGTTTGCTCAAACCGTGCGAAACCTGGGTGTCTACTTAGACAGAACACTAACTATGGAAAATCACATTAACATGCTTTGCAATGCGATTTTTCTAGAGCTGCGCAGGATTAATCATATCAGACCTTTCTTAACGTTAGATGCATCAAAGAGGCTGATGTTTTCATGAACTACTGCAGTGCTCTTATGGTGGGTCTTCCAGCTACGCTCCTGGATAAAATTTAAAAAAGGACGGAATAATGCGGCTCGCATTTTTCTTCTAAAACGCAAATTCGACCATGCTAAAACATTTCTGACAGACTTGCATTGGCTGGCGGTCCACGCTCGCATAGAGTACAAAATTGCAACTCTGTGCTACCGCTGCTTGCATGACCTGGCACCGTCCTATCTAAAAGCGCTACTGACGCCTTATGTACCCACTAGACAACTCCGCTCATCTCATAGTGGCAAACTCTCGATACCATGTATTGCCCTTGAGACTTACGAGGGGCGCATTTTCGCTTTTGCTAGCCCAACAATTTGGAACACCCTTCTTGTCACTCCCAGAAACAGCCAGACACTGGAGTCTTTCAAAACTGATTTGAAGACTTATCTATTTCGTAAACACCTGCTGGGGTGATATTGTCTATCTAGCTATTATCTTTTAGATGTATATTGGCCTGTGTTGTTTATGGTTGCAAGGTTTGAAAGACTTAGAATGGGTATTCTCGTATACAGTTTTTGTAATGTTGCATTTTGTACTTCAATGTGGTATGTACCGCGCTTCGAGCCTTTGGGGATGAAGAGTGATTTTCAAATAATCTTTATTATTATTATTATTAAATATCATTGTTTGTGGTATAAATATGATTATTGTCAGTAAAGCTGACAATTAAAGTACAGTTTCTAGCTGCTATCACCTTCCCAAGGAGTAGCCAGGTTTGCACTATAGTAACAGGGACATCATTTGGTTAGGGCAGGGGGCATTTGCCCCCACCCCCTAATTTGCAGGCTTTATTTAAATTGCTATGCACTGTGGCGCCTCCAGTAATAAACAATTTAACAAGCCGACCAAGTTTTGGTTTTGCCCCCCTTCCTTCATCCCCTGAAAAAAAAATGAAATGACGCCGCTCAGGGGCATAGTCTATAGTTGCTTATTTATCATTTTCATCTTGCGGCACTGATACACCAGACAAGACAACATCATCCTCATCTAACCATTCAGCATTTTTAAAATAGAACCATTGTCAGTGTGAGCAATAATTGCCACGAGCTCTCTCTGTCTCCTGGCAGCTACTTGCATTAGCCGAATCCTTTTTTGTTGAGGAACAGGTGATAATTTCTTGTGCATTGTCAGTGCTGTTGAACTTGCTTTTTCAACATGACTTGTGATGCAAAATAGATGTTACAGATTTTGCAAATCCTTTCAAGCAGCGATGTTATTATTAGTTACTCATTTTACATTCACCTAATTTTCAAAATATAGCATTTAATTTTATCTTGGCCGAACAAGACACTCGAAACTTGTCTTTGTTCCATACCTGCAACAGAATCTACAGATGAAGAGAGGTTTGTTTATCTGTGTATCATAGTATATGTACTATATGAAGAGAGGCCAACTTTTGACTTCTCTTGCAAAGTATGCTAACATTCTGACCAGCCATCTGCATTGCACAGACATACATTAAATAAATCTTATATTGTTAAAAGCCTAAGAATATATGACTATTTACACTCTCATTTACAATTAGATATATAATTTTAAAAATAATGTAATAACCAGTAAATTTTTAAGGTTAAAATTTTAATAGAGAAAACATGATTGTTGACGTCAACTAATCTACCCCCTCCCTCCCCCTTGTCAACAACTGTCAAACATTTCCACCCCCCCCTATTTTGTTGACGTAATTAATGGACGCCCCCGATACACAAAGTATGGGATACGCCTAGAAGCAACTGGAAAGGAAAGCACAGGATCATGATGAATGGGAAATTATTGTAGACGGCCTATGCCCCAGACGGGCTATGCCCCAGACGGGCTATGCCCCAGACGGGCTATGCCCCAGATGGGCTATGCCCCAGACGGGCTATGCCCCAGACGGGCTATGCCCCAGACGGGCTATGCCCCAGACGGGTAAAAGGCATACGTAAGTAAGATGAATCTTGAGCGGTAGAAGGAATTTCTCCTCAGAATTTTTTTTTATCATTTAAAAATCAAGAGATGCCTTTTGGAGTATAGTTGAATTCAATGTTTCTATTACTCTTTTTGATCAGGAGAAATACATTTTTAAAAGAACTGGGGAGGCATTTTGTTTCCAGTGCCACTCACAAACTGATATCACCCTGGTTGGGGTTTGCCCAGGGGTAATTATTTGGCACAAGCTTATATTCAAAGTCATACTGTAACATCAATGAGGGTCAGGGTAAGGGGTACATAAATTGAGGGTGTTGAAGACAGTCGCGCAAATTAAAAATGCAGGGGTGTATTTTTTTGGTGCATACTTAAATTCGGTGTCGTGTTCAGATAATTTTGAGCTGACATTTCAAACTTAATTGTGGGAAGCGCAAAAAAATTAGCGCATATTAATGATCGAAGACATCTTTAACGCCGAACCAGGAGGTCATGCCTTGAACTAAATTCATTCAAGTTGTGGGTATGCATTTTCCCGAGCTATTGGTCGTTTCTTAAATTTTTAAAGTCCCCAGAAAATATTTAAGAAATTCAAAATACAAGAATGATTTTAGTAAATAATTTTTTTTTTTTTAAAAATTCTAAACTTAATTGAAGAGCAACGGAAGAAGTTCCAGTTTAAAAAAAAAAATGTAGGTGCCACTTAACCACAGAAACATCGCCTGAGCCCAGCAACCCCTACGACCGCAAATATGCATCGATATTTCACCTGTACAAGCGTAAAGAGAACCGTCAATCATGCGACAACCATCGTGGCATATCACTGCTCTCAATTGCAGGCAAGATATCAGCCAGAATCCTGCTAAATCGTCTTAATGGGACTCTTGAAAACGGTTTACTGCGAGAAAGTCAGTGTGGCTTCCGGAAGGAACGAGGAATCATCGTTATGGTGTTTTCGCCCAGACAGCTACAGGAAAAGTGCAGGGAACACAATGTTGACCTCTTCTCTACCTTTTTAGACCTGACCGAAGCTTTCGACACTGTCAGTAGAGAGGGCCTTTGGAAGATCATGGCCAAATAGGGATGCCCCAGAAAGTTCGTGTCACTGGTACGACAATTCCATGAAGGTATGCAGGCTAGAGTTCGTGATAAAGGAGAGACGTCAAAGCCATTCTCTGTAACAAACGACGTGAAACAAGGCTGTGTACTTGCATCAACACTTTTCAGCCTCGTGTTTTCCGCAATGCTGACCGATGCATTCAGCGAGGGAGACGCTGGAATTGGCCTCAGATACCGAACTGACGGTAACCTATTCAACACCAAGAGGCTACAGACACCATCAGGGACCTCCTATATGCAGAAGAATGTGCCCTAAACGCTGTATCAGAAGTGAATATGCAACGCTGCGTCACAAGCTTTTCTAATGCCTGCACAAACTTCGGGCTCACCATTAAACACACAAAAAACTGAGGTCATATACCAACCAGCTCCTCGAAGCCCTTATGTTGAGCCCAACATCCAAGTATATGGCAAAAGACTTAAGGTGGTGAAAGGCTTTTCCTATCTCGGCAGCACACTGTCCCAAATCACAACCATCAATGACGAGGTTAACCTCCGTATTGCAAGGGCCAGTGCAACCTATGGAAAATTGACTCAGAACGTATGGACCAGGAGAGGTATCAACACTGAAACTAAACTGAAGGTATATATCAGGCGGTTGTTCTCCCTACGCTTCTCTATGCCTGTGAAACGTCGACGGTCTACCAACGCCATGCAAGAATGCTGAACCACTTTCATACAACAAGACTCAGACAAATCCCCAATGAAAAATGGCAAGACAGGGTCGCAGACACTGAGATGCTCACACGGG